CCAGAATTACCCTCATAACCCCTGAGACCACGGTCAGCACCTCGGGGAGTGTGAGAGACCAGAATACCCCCAAATTACCCCAAAAACTGCCCTAAAACCACCCCCAAAAACTGCCCTAAAATACCCAGAATTACCCTCATAACCCCGAGACCACGGTCAGTCCCTCGGGCAGCAGTGAGAGATCTGAAATACCCCAAAAACTGCCCTAAAATACCCTGAAAATACCCCAAAACCAGCCCTAAAACCATCCCAAAACATCCCTGAAATACCCCAAAAACTGCCCTGAAATACCCCAAAACCTGCCCTACAACCACCCCCCAAACCTGCCCTGAATCCAACCTCAGAAACACCCTTAAAATACCACAAAAATACCCACTCCAATTCCCCCCAATTTTCACCCAAATCTCCCCAATTTCCCCCAAACCCCCCAATTTCCCCCCCGATTCCCCCCAGTTTTCCCAATTTCCCCCCGATTCACCCCGATTTCCCGCTCTGTCCCCGCAGAGGGGTCCCGGGGGGGCCCCGGGGGGGTCGTGGCCGGAGCCGCTGCCCTGGGGGGGGCTCCTGGTGCTGGCGCTGCTGGGGGGGGCCCTGCTCGCCCTCAGGTGAGCGAATTTGGGGGGGTTTGGGGAGATTTGTGGATTTTGGTGGGATTTGGGGGGATTTTGGGGGGATTTTGGGGATTTTGGGGGGATTTGGGGGGATTTGGGGGATTTTGGGGGGGATTTTGGGGGGAATTGGGGTCTCTAGAGGGGTCTGGGGAGGATTTGGGTTCACTGGGGTCTTTTGGGGTTCCTGGGGGTGTTTTGGGGTGGATTTGGGTTTGTTTTTGGGGTCTCTGGTGTGGATTTGGGTGTTCTGAGGTCACTGGGGTGGGTTTGGTGGTTTTGAGGTCCCTGGGGTGGATTTTGGGGTGTTTTGGGTTATTTTGGGGTGGATTTGGGGGTTTTGAGGTCCCTGGGGTGGATTTTGGTGTGTTTTGTTATTTAGGTGTGTGGTTTATGGTAGTTTCGGTGTCGCTGGGGTGTTTAGTGGTGTTTGGGGTTGTTTTGGGTTATTTTGGGTGGTTTTGGGGTGTTTTTGGGGTCCCTTTGGGGTCTCCATCACCGTGTCCCCCCCTGTCCCCGCAGGCGTTGGCGGCTCCGGGCGGAGAAGCAGCGACGGGAGCCCAACCCTGGGGGGGCCGGTAAGGGAGACCCCAAAAACGCCCCAAAATGGCCCCAAAAATGGCCCCAAAAATGACCCCAATGGCCCTAAAAATGGCCCCAAATATCCCCAAAAATGTCCCCAAATGGCCTCAAAACTGTTCTCAAAAATGTCCTTGAAAATGTCCCCAGAAATGACCCCAGGTGTCCCCAGGTGTGACCCAGGTGTCCCCCAGGGGCTCTCAGGTGTCCCAGCTGTCCCCAGGTGTATCCGTGATGCCCCCAGGTGTATCCCCAGGTGTCCCCAGGTGTGACCCAGGTGTGTCCCCAGGTGGGAAGCTCTACATCGACCCCCTGACGTATGAGGACCCCGAGGTGGCCCTGAGGGATTTTGCGCAGGAGATCGATGTCACCTGCGTCACCATCGAGGAGGTCATCGGCGCAGGTGCCACCGGGGACACACCTGGGGGGACACACCCGGGGGGACACACCTGGGACCGCGGTTTGGGGGATTTGGGGCATTTTGGGCGTTTTGGAGGGTTCTCATCTGCCCCAGGTGAGTTCCAGGAGGTGTGGGTGGGATTTTGGGTGCTTTATTGGGGTTTTGAGTGCATTTATCAGGATTTTGGGTATTTTTGGATACATTTACCCACATTACCTGTCCCCAGGTGAGTTCGGCGAGGTGTGGCACGGCCGGCTGTGTCTCCTGGGCCAGCCCGAGGCCGAGGTGTGGGTGGGATTTTGGGTGGGTTTATCAGGATTTTGGCTGTATTTAACCATATTTTGGGTACATTTACCTGCATTACCTGTCCCCAGGTGAGTTCGGCGAGGTGTGGCGCGGCCGCCTCTCCCTGCCCGGCCAGCCCGAGGCCGAGGTGGCCGTGAAGACGCTCAAGGGCGGCGCGGGGCGAGCGGCAGCGCCGGGAGTTCCTGCGCGAGGCGGCGCGCATGGCGCAGTTCCTGCACCCCAACGTGCTGCGGCTGCGCGGCGTGGTCAGCGCGGGGAGCCCCGCCATGATCGTCACCGAGTTCCTCATGCACGGGGCCCTGGACGCCTTCCTCAGGGTGGGGACACCGAGGGGACATCGGGGACACTGGGGGTGTCAGGGGCATTGGGGACATTGGGGACACTGGGGACATTGGGGACATTGGGGCGTGGTCAGCGCGGGGAGCCCCGCCATGATCGTCACCGAGTTCCTCATGCACGGGGCGTTGGATGCCTTCCTCAGGGTGGGGACATTGGGGACACCAAGGGGACACTGGGGGTGTCAGGGGCATTGGGGACATCGGGGACGTTGGGGGGTGTCAGTGGGACTGGGGACACTGGGGACATTGAGGGGACATTGGGGACATTGGGGTCATGCTCTCTGCTCTCCAGGGCCACGAGGAGAGCACTGTCCCCACTCCAGCTGGTGGCCATGCTCTGTGTGTGATGTCCCCACGATGTCCCCATGCCCTGTGTCACCCCGTGTCACTCGGTGATGTCCCTTTGTCACTTTAGGGCCGAGAGGGGACCCTGTCCCCGCTCCAGCTGGTGGCCATGCTGCGCGGCATCGCGGCCGGGATGCGTTACCTGGCCGAGGCCGGGTTCGTGCACCGTGACCTGGCTGCGAGGAACATCCTGGTGGACGCACACCTGGTCTGCAAGGTGGGAGATTGGGGGATTTTGGGGGATTTTGGGGCGTTCTGGGGGGTTTTGGGGTGTGGAACATCCTGGTGGATGCTCACCTGGTCTGCAAGGTGGGAGTGTTTTGGGGCGATTTTGGGATGTTTTGGGGCATTCTGTTGGTTTTTGGGGTGTGGAACCCCCCTCTGGACGCTCACCTGTCCCCCAGGTGTCCGACTTTGGGCTGTCGCGGGCGCTGGACGGGGACAGGGACAACGACCCCCACCTACACCAGCTCCCTGGTGAGACCCCTGGGCTTTGGGGGGATTTGGTCGGTTTTTGGGGGATTTCAGCAGGTTTTGGGGGAATTTGAGGAGAATTCTGGCAGGTTTGGGGGATTCTAGCGGGTTTTGGGGGAATTCTGGCAGGTTTGAGATTTCCTGGGTGGGTTTGGGGTTTCCCAGAGGGTTTTTGGCATTTCCTGGGCTTTTTGAGGTTTCCCAGGTGGCTTTGGGGTTTCTCAGGTGGATTTGGGTTTCCTGGGTGGGATTTGGGGTTTCCTGGGGGTTTCAGGGTTTTCCTGGTGGTTTTTCGGGCCCTCTGTCGGTTTATGAGTTCCTCTGGCTGTTTTTGGGGTCCCCTGATGGATTTTGGGTCCCCCTGATGGGTTTTGGGCCCCGGTCAGGGCGGGAAGATCCCGATCCGCTGGACGGCGCCCGAGGCCATCGCGTTCCGCACCTTCACCTCGGCCAGCGACGCCTGGAGCTACGGCATCGTCATGTGGGAGGTGCTGAGCTTCGGGGAGCGGCCCTACTGGGACATGTCCAACCAGGACGTGAGTCACCCCAAAATGTGGGACCCCAAAAACCCCAAAAATCCCCCCCCAAAAAACCCCAAATCCCTAAAACCCCAAAATCCCCAAATTGCCACAAAATCACCCCAAAAATGGGCTCATGGGAGGTGCTGAGCTTTGGGGAGAGACCCTGCTGGGACGTGTCCAACCAGGACGTGAGTCACCCAAAAATCTGGGACCCCCCAGATCTTCCTGAAACCCCCAAATGGCCCCAAAACCCTCTCACCTGTGCAGGTGATCAACGCCATCGAGCAGGATTGTTACCAATGTTATCAATATTATCAATATTCACAGCTGTCCCAGGTGATCACTGCCGTCGAGCAGGATCGTTACGAGTTCTATCCCACTCACCTGTCCCATTTACCTGTGCAGGTGATCAACTCCATCGAGCAGGATTAGCAGTGTTCCTCTCACCTGTCTCACCTGTCCCATTTACCTGTGCAGGTGATCAACGCCATCGAGCAGGATTAGCAGTGTCCCTCTCACCTGTCTCACCTGTCCCATTTACCTGTGCAGGTGATCAACGCCATCGAGCAGGATTATTATCAATGTTATAAATGCCCCATTTACCTGTCTCTCACCTGTCCCAGGTGATCAACTCCATCGAGTAGGATTATTACCAATGTTATCATCAATATTCACACCTGTCCCAGGTGATCACCGCCGTCGAGCAGGATTGTTACGAGTTCTATCCCACTCACCTGTCCCATTTACCTGTGCAGGTGATCAACGCCATCGAGCAGGATTAGCAGTGTCCCTCTCACCTGTCTCACCTGTCCCATTTACCTGTGCAGGTGATCAACGCCATCGAGCAGGATTAGCAGTGTTCCTCTCACCTGTCTCACCTGTCCCATTTACCTGTGCAGGTGATCAACGCCATCGAGCAGGATTACCGGCTGCCGCCGCCGCCGCGCTGCCCGCCCGCGCTGCACCGGCTGATGCTGCAGTGCTGGCAGCGCGAGCGCCACGCCCGCCCCACCTTCCCGCACCTGGTGCGCGCCCTGGACCGGCTCATCCGGCACCCGCAGAGCCTGCGCAGGTGAGGGGGGCACACCTGGGCACACCTGGGTGCGCTGGGGGCTCATCCGGCACCCGCAGAGCCTGCGCAGGTGAGGGGCACACCTGGGCACACCTGGGTGCGCTGGGGGCTCATCCGGCACCCGCAGAGCCTGCGCAGGTGAGGGGCACACCTGGGCACACCTGTGGGGTGGGGGAGCCCTGGACTGGCTCATCCCACACCCGCAGAGCCTGCGCAGGTGAGGGGGGCACACCTGGGGGGGGGAAAGTGGGAGAGAGCACCTGGATGCGTTGTGGGGAGAGGTCTTGGCACACCTGAATTAATTGGGAGTGGTCCCAGCACACCTGAGTTCATTGGGGGGTCTCAGCACCCCTGATTTTGGGCAGGGGGGGTCTCCGGCTCGTGGCTCTGACCCCTCCCCTCTCTCCCCGCAGCCCCTCCCCCTCCTGCCTGGAGCCCGCCCCCCCCAAGGCCGAGCCCACCCCCACCCCCCCCTCGGGGGGGCACCTGGAGCCCCTCGGGGTCACCGGGCTGGAGCTGCTGCCCCACCTGAGCAGAGAGTACGGGGGAAAATGGGGGGCAATGGGGGGCATTGGGGGGGATTGGGGGCACTGGGGGCATTGAGGGCATTGGGGGCACTGGGGGGCATTGGGGGCATTGGGGGCATTGGGGGGCATTGGGGGCATTGGGGGCTGGAGCTGCTGCCCTGGTTGCGTGGAGAGTATGGGGGGAAATGGGGGGCATTGGGGGACTGGGGGGGCAAATGGGGGCCAAACGGGGCATTGGGGAGCATTGGGGGGATATCGAGGGGATGGGGGGCACTGGGAGTTGGGGGGCCATGGGGCACCAGGGGGTCTGGGGGCACTGGGGGGGTCATGGGGGGCACAGGGACCCCGCAGTGACCCCCGTGTCCCCCCGCAGGGACCTGCTGCGCATGGGGGTGACGCTGCCGGGGCAGCAGAGCCTGCAGAGCCCCCCCAAAGGGGACCCCCAGTGCTGACACTGCCCCCGGCCACGCCCACGGCAAGATGGCCGCCGGGGAGAGGCGCCAAGGGATGCAGATGGATGGGGGAGCAAGATGGCTGCCAGGACAAGATGGCTGCCAGGACTCTATGGCCCCTAGGGACAATATGGCCGCTGGGGACAATATGGCTGCCAATCCAATATGGCCACCAGAACAACATGGCTGCCAATCTAATGTGGGTGCCAGGGACAGTATGGCTGCAATTCTAATGTGGCCACCAATCCAATATGGCTGCCCATTCAATATGGCTACCAGGACAACATGGCTGCCATTCCAACATGGCCTCCAATCCAACATGGCTGCCTTTCCAGTATGGCTGCCAGGACAATAAAGCTCCACCCACCAATGACTCATGGGTGGGGCAATCTCAGGGGTGGAGCCTGTGTGGGCGTGGCCAATAATGGGAGTGGACAAACATGAATTGGTGTGGCCAACATGGGTGTGGCCATGTGGGCGTGGCCATAAATGGGCATGGTCGTAAATGGGTGTGGTCATTGATGGGCGTGGCCTCATTGCTTTTATTGTCCCAATGCTGGTCACGGCCAATAAACGTGGCTGATGCAAATGAGGGGGCGTGGCTGCGCCCCGACCTGTCCCCAAGGCGTCACCAAGGGCCAACCCGACCCTGAGTGTCCCCAAGGTCCCCAAAATCCCAATTCCTGTCCCCAAGGTGCCCCTGAGTGTCCCCAGGGCCACCCCGCTCCCAGCTGTCCCCATAGCCCCACGTGTCCTCGCTGTCCCAGCTGTGCCCAAGGCCACCCCCAATGTCCCCAAAGCCACTCTTGATGTCACCAATGTCCCCATGGCCACCCCCAATGTCCCCAATGTCCCCGAGGCCACCGCCCATGTCCCCGCAGTCGCCACTGTCCCCGAGGCCGCCCCCAATGTCCCCGATGTCCCCACTGTCCCCCGCCAGCGCCCCGGCCGTGCCACGCAGGGTCCAGGCCAGCAGCGCCAGCCGCAGCTGGACACTGTCCCCAGGTGTCCCCTCACTGTCACCAGGTGTCCCCTCATTGTCCCTGTGTGTACCCATGCCATCCCCAGGTGTCCCTTTGTTGTCCCCAGGTGTCCCCACATTGTCCCCAGGTGTCCCCTGGCTGTCCCCAAGTGTCCCCTCACTGTCCCTGTGTGTCCTTGTGCTGTTCCCTTGTGTCCCCAGGTTGTCCCCAGTTGTCCCCACATTGTCACCAGGTGTCCCCAGGTTGTCTCCAGGTGTCCCTTCGTTGTCCCCCGGTGTCCCCCGCTGTGTCCCCAGCTCGGCCACCAGCGCCGCCAGCGTGTGCCCGCCCCGGCCCAGCAGGACGTGACGGAACGGGGACACGAGAGGGGACACGAACGGGGACAGCAGCGACGCCTCCGCCTGCGGGACAGACGGACACTGTGAGAAGGACACAGGGACAGGGGTGACACAGAGGTGACACTGGGATGGCCCAGGTGACCCTCAGGTGACACAGGCGACACTCACGGCCATGAGGCGCGCGTTGAAGCCGCGGTTGAGCCGCTCGTTGGCGCCGTCCGATCCCGACATGTCGCGACGGAGCGCGGCGGCCGCGCGCACAACGCCCCCTCTGGCCGAGGAGAGGCACTGCAGCGACAGGCCCCGCGCCTGCGGAAACGGGTTATACTGGTTTATACTGGTTTATATTGGGGTATACTGGGGTATACTGGGGTATACTGGGAGGGGATTTATGGGCACTGCAGCGACAGGCCCCGCGCCTGCGGGGAAAATCGCTAGACTGGTTTATACTGGGATGGACTGGGAGGGACTGAGATGTACTGGGATATACTGGTCTGTACTGCTCTATACTGGTCTGTACTTTTTTATACTGGTTTATACTGGTTTATACTGGTTTATACTGGTTTATGCTTATCTGCAGCGGCGCCAGCTGCCGCACCAGCGCGTCCCCGATGGCCGCGGGCTATACTGGTTTATACTGGTTTATATTGATCTGTACTGGTTTATGGAGGCCCGTACTGGTCAGTACTGATCTATACTGGTCCATACTGGTCTATACTGGTCTGTACCCACCTGCAGCGGTGCCAGCTGCCGCACCAGCGCGTCCCCGATGGCCGCGGGCTCTAGCGGCAGCCGCGGGTCGTGGCCCAGGCGGAGCAGGAGCTGCGCGGCCACGGCGGCCACGGCGCGGGACACGGCGGGGAGGCGGCCCCGGAGCCGCGCCCCGAGCCGCGACAGAGTGTCCTCGGGTGTCCCCAGGGCCGCACGGGTGCTGCCACCACCGCCCGGGGCCTGTGGGGACAATGGGGGGACATTGTCACATGTGGGGACACCAGGGGGGACACAGGGAGACACCGAGGACACGGTCACGGGGAGGACACAGAGACGGGACATGGTCACAGAGGGGACACAAGGACAGGGGGACACCCTGGGGACACTTTGGGGATATTTTGGGGACACTTTGGGGGTCTCACCTCATCGAAGCCGAGCTCCAGCGCCGGGACCCCCGCGGCCGCCGTGAAGGGGAAGGCGCCGCTCTCGGGGGCCAGGGGGCGGATCCTGGGGGACAGACGGACACGGGTGGGACAGGGGGACGCCTGAAGGTGTGCCCAGGTGTCCCCAGGTGTGTCCCCAGCTCTCCCCAGGTGTGCCCAGGTGTGTCCCCAATGTCCCCAGCTGTCCCCAGGTGCGCTCAGGTGTGTCTCCAGGTGTGTCCCCAATGTCCCCAGGTGCGCTCAGGTGTGTCTCCAGGTGTGTCCCCAATGTCCCCAGGTGTGCCCAGGTGTGTTCAGGTGCGCTCAGCTGTGTCCCAGGTATGTCCCCAGGTGTATCCCCAATGTCCCCAATGTCCCCAGCTCTCCCCAGGTGTGCCCAGGTGTGTCCCCGGGTGTGCCCCCAACGTCCCCAGGTGTGTCCCCAGGTGTCCCCAGGTGTGTCCCCGCCCACTCACACGTCGCTCTCCCAGCCCCGCCCCGGCCGCCGCAGCTGCTCCAGGAGGGATTTCCCGCCCTCGTTGGGGCTCTCCACCTGTCATTGGGGGAGGGGCGGTGACGTGGAGGGAAGGGGCGGGGCTGCCCCTCCTCCACCCTCCTGACCCCATCCCCCGGCCCCTCCCCCCCTCTGGCCCCTCCCCCACCTGCTCCAGGGCGCTCTCGATCAGCGGCCCCAGGGTGGGGCTGGTCCGGACCACGAAGCGATCGGCGCCTGCGGGGGGGGGGGGCGGGGTCAGGGGGGTGTGGGCGGGGTCAGGGGTGGGGGCGGGGCCGAGACCCCCCCTAAATCCCCGGATGGGGGAGGGGGCGGGGCGCACCCAGCACGGGCCGGTCCAGGCTGACGTAGGCGGCGACTTTGGTGTGCAGGAGGCCGGGGTAGCCCTGGGGGGAGGGGCGATGGGGTCACCGAGGGGTCACAGGGGTCATGGGGGGTCACGGCGGGGTCACCGGGGTCACCTCGAGCCACTCGGTGGCCCCCAAGTGTCCGAACTCGGCGCCGTCCCAGCTGACGAAGAGGAGCGTCCGGCGGAGCTGGAACCCTGGGGGTGGGGTCAGGGGGGCGGGGTCAGGGGGGCGGGGCCAGGGGGCGGGGAGGGGAGACCCCCCCAAGGGCGGGGTAATGAAGGCCCCGCCCCTCCCCCATGGCCCCGCCCCAGTTTGGGCCCCCCCCAAGCCACGCCCCCCTCCATTTGGGGAGTCTCAAATTCCCCAAATTTCCCAAAATTCAGCCCCGCCCCAAATCAGAGACCACGCCCGGCCCCACCCAGCCCGAGCCCTGCCTCTCTCTCACCCTCTCGGCCAATGGCAGCGAAGAACCGGGCGAGCTCCAGCAGGAGGGCGGTGCCCACGCCCGAGGCCGCCGCCCCCGGCCCCAGCGAATCGCGTTGGGCCCCCACGATGATGTAACAGTCTGGGCGGGGCTGGGGTCAGCAAGGCCACACCCTCTCCAACCACCTCTCCACCCCCATTGGCCACGCCTGCTCATTGTCCCCCCCACTCTGGCCACGCCCACACAACGAGCCTGCATTGGCCACACCCACTGACCACACCCACTTCAGCCGTCCCTGTTTTCCATTGCCCCGCCCTCCCATGGCTCCTCCCCTCACATGACCACACCCACCTGGACCACACCCAATTCAGCCACACCCTCCTCCATTATTCTCATTGCCCCGCCCTCCCCCCGCCATGACCACGCCCACCTCCAACCACACCCACCCTGGCCACGTCCCTTCCACCATGACCACACTCCTACATGGCCACACCCACCCTGCCCATATCCCCGTTTGACCACACCCGCTTTGCCCACGCCCCCACGGAACCCGCCCACCCTGGCCCCGCCCCCTTCGCGGCCCCGCCCCTCACCGGGCTCGAGGCGCCCCCGCAGGGCCCCGAAGACGCTGGTGAGGGTCCCGGGGCGCGTCCCCGCCCCCACCCGCAGCTGCAGCCGCCGCCCCCCCGGGCGGGGCCGGAACCGGAGCGACCCCCCCGGGACCCCCCAGCGCGGGGGGGCGAGGGGCGGGCCCAGGGACCTGGAACGGGTGGGGGAGGGGTGAGACCTCCAAAAAAACCTCAAATGGGGAAGAGGAGAGGGGTCAGGGGCGTTTTGGGGAGGGGTCCCAGGTTAATTTGAGGGGTCCCAATTTAAATTGGGGTGGGGTTTTACTGAATTTGGGGAGGGGTCCCAGGTTAAATTAGGGGTTAATGAATAATTTAAGGGTTAATCGTTAATTTGGGGAGGGGGCCCGGGTTAATTTCGGGGTTAATGTTTAATTAGGGGAAGGGTCTCTGTACCTCATCAGCCTCATGGCGGTGGCGGCGCTCAGGGGGTGGGCGGGGATCGGGGCCACGCCCGGGGCGGGGCCAGGGGGGGCGTGGCCGCTGAAGGAGGGGAATCCCCGGCTGAAGGGGTCCCCCGCCCCATCCTGCACCTGTAGGGGCAGATGACACCGAGACCCCTCCCCGAAATACCCCCGAGACCCCCAAAATAACCCCAAAATATCCCCCAGACCCCGACCCCCATCAGGACAACACGACTGCTGTTCCAATATGACCACCAGGACAATATGGCTGCCAATCAATATGGCTGCCCATCCAACATGTCTGCAATCCAACATGGCTGCCAATCCAACATGGCTGCCAATCCGACATGGCTGCCAATCCAACATGGCTGCCAATCCGACATGGCGGCCAATCCAACATGGTGGCCAATCCAACATGGCTGCCAAACCGACAAGGCTGCCATCCCAATATGGTGGCCATTCCAATATGGCTGCCAATCCAATATGGCTGCCAATCCGACATGGCTGCCAGGACATCAGAGACCGAGACCCCTCCCCAAAAATACCCCAGACACCCCCAAATTGCCCCAAAATGCCCCCAGAGGCATCAAAATGTCCCCAAAAATACTCCCAGAGACCCCCAAATACCCCCCCAAATTACCCCAACACCCCCAGCCACCCCCAGACTGCCCCCCAAATCCCCCCTAGCCCCGCCCCCATCCCCCCGAGCCCCGCCCCCACTCACGTGCAGGGTGGGCGTGGTGCCCCCCCCCAGCGCGGGGCCCCCCCCCGGCCCGGCCGTGTCCCGGGGGTCGCGGTAAAAAAGGACCCCCCGAGCGCCCGCGGCAAACATGGCCGCCACCTGGGGGGAGGGGCACAGTGGGGGAGGGGCACAATGGGAATGGGGGAGGGGCAATAAACCACACCCACCCCAACCCCGATTTTTGGGGTCTCATCTGTTGGGCGGGGCTGCCCCTCCCCAGCCCCTCCCCCAGTTTGTGGGTGTGGTCTCCCCATCAGGGGGCGTGTCCCTCTCACCTGTTGGGCGGGGCGGCCCCGCCCCAGCCGCAGCAGCACCAGCCCCGCCCCCATGTGGGCGTGTCCCTCTCACCTGTTGGGCGGGGCGGCCCCGCCCCAGCCGCAGCAGCACCAGCCCCGCCTCCATGTGGGCGTGTCCCTCTCACCTGTTGGGCGGGGCGGCCCCGCCCCAGCCGCAGCAGCACCAGCCCCGCCCCCATGTGGGCGTGTCCCTCTCACCTGTTGGGCGGGGCGGCCCCGCCCCAGCCGCAGCAGCACCAGCCCCGCCCCCATGTGGGCGTGTCCCTCTCACCTGTTGGGCGGGGCGGCCCCGCCCCAGCCGCAGCAGCACCAGGTGTCCCCGCAGCTCCACCCCCCGCGCCCGCAGCTCCGCCAGGTCCTGGGGCCTCCCGTAGTGCCCATAGACCAGCCCGCCCTGGGGTCAGGGGTCAGCGGGGGTCAGCGGGGGTCAGCGGGGGTCAGCAGGGGTCAGGGGTCAGGGGTCACTCACGGTGGCCGTCCCGGGCGCGCTCCAGGCGCAGAACGCTTCCGGGTCCAGCGGGAGCCGCTCGAGCTCCTCCCCCCCCGGCCCCACCCAGCGCAGCGACACCGCCCCCCTGGGGGCAAAGGTCAGGGGTCAGGGTCAGCTCTGCCTCCCCACTGACCCCAAGGACTTTTGAGCTTCTGACCCCTCCCAATTGGCCCCTCCCCCACCCCAGTGATCCTGCCCCCACTGACCCCAGTGACCCCTGACCCATCCATCCCCCCCGCTGACCCCTTGGTGACCCCCCATGACCCCCAATGACCCCCCAATGACCTCTGTGACCTCCCGATGACCCCTGACCCCCCCCAGCCCCTCGTTACCGTACTGGGAGGGGGAGGGGCTGGGGGCGGCTCCAGGCCCGGCTCAGCCCCGCCCCCGCCAGGGCGCTCAGCACTGATTGGGCGAGAGCTCGGCCACGCCCTGACCCCGCCCCGTGCGGCCCCGAGCTGACCTCCCTGCGGGGGAGGGGCAGGGTCACACGGGGGTCACTCAGGGGTCAAGGGTCACAGGGGCGGGGGGCTGTAGTGGTCAGTAATGGTCAGTAATGGTCACTCAGTGGTCACTCAGTGGTCACTGATGGTCAGTGGTCACTCATTGGTCAGTGGTCACTCAGTGGTCACTCAGTGGTCACTCATTGGTCAGTGATGGTCAGTGGTCACTCAGTGGTCAGTGGTCACTCATTGATCACTCAGTGGTCACCATTGGTCACTCACCTGGCCCATTGCTCCACCCTCTCCTCCCTCAGGTGCCGCCTCAGCAGCTCCCGTAGGCGGGGCCGTGGGGGCGGAGCCTCTGCGCTGGCCCCGCCCCAAACCAGATCGGGGGTGGAGCCTCCCGGCAGAGGCCCCGCCCCCACGGCCCCACCCCTGCAGGGGGTGTGGCCAAGGGCAGCCACCAACAGCCCTGGGGGCGGGGACAGAGGGGGCGGGGTCATAAAGGGGTGGGGTCACGGTGGGCGGGGTCAGAGGGTGTGGTCACAGTGGGCGTGCCCTCGCGGTCCCGTACCCAATAGGAACGCCATGGCCGAGCCCAGGGCCAGCGTGGCCAGGGGGTGGAGCCAGGGGCGTGGTCTGCGTCGGGGGCGTGTCCGGGGGCGGGGCATCCGCACCATTGGCTCCGCCCCCTCCTGCTCCTCCTCCTCCTCCTCGCCCCGGGGGTTTCTGTGCCGGGAATACGAAACGGGGCCGCCCCCGGGGGGCTGGGGGGCGGGACCCCCGAGTTGGGGAGGGGCGGGGTCAGGACCCCAAAATGGGGGCGGGGTCAGGACCCCCCCAAAATGGAGGCGGGGTCAGGACCCCCAAAATGGGGGCGGGGTCAGGACCCCCGGAATGGGGGAGGGGGCGGGGTCAGGACCCCCTCAAAATGGGGAGGGGGAGAGGGGGCGGGGCTTTACCCGTCCGTGGAAGCACCGTCGCAACGTCTCCATGGCAACCGGGGGGGGTGTCTGGGGGTCCCGAGGGTATTTTGGGGTCTATGGGTGTATTTTGGGATAGTTTGGGGTCTCGGAGGGTCCCGGGGGTTGTTTTGAGGTCTCTGGGGTTATTCGGGGGTCTCTCGGGATATTATGGGATATTTTGGGGTCTCTCGGGATATTTTGGGCCATTTCGGGGTCCCTGGGTGTATTTTTGGATATTTTGGGTTCCCTGGGGGTCTCTGGAGCTGTTTTGGGATATTTTGGGGTCCCTGGGGAGTCCTGGGTGTGTTTTAGGGTCTCTGGATGCATTTTGGGGTATTTCGGGGTCCCTGGGTGTATTTTGGGATATTTTGGGGTCTCTCGGGATATTTTGGAATATTTTGGGGTCCCTTGGGGGGGTTCCGAGCCTGTTTCGGGGTCCCTGGGTGTATTTTGGGATATTTTGGGGTCTCTCGGGTTATTTTGGGATATTTCGGGGTCCCGGGGGGGTCCCGGGGTTCCGCAGGTGCCGCCCTTCCCCTCCCCCCCCCCCAAGGTCAGACTTTGCCCCGGGCGGATTTTGCCCCTCCCCCACCCCAACCCGGGGCCCCCCCCGCCCCCGAACCCCCCCTGAGCCCCCCCGGGGTGACCCCGAACCCCCCTGAGCCCCCCAAAAAGCCCACAATCCCCGAAACGCCCCAAAATGCCCCAAAATGCCCCAAATCCCCCCGGTCCCGCTCACCCGCGGCCGCCGCAGCCGCGCTGGCCCCGCCCACAGAGGTGAGAAAAAGGGGCGGGGCCTGAGCGGGGGCGTGGCCAGCGGCGCTGGGAGAAATGCGCGTGGCTTGACGGCAATAAATGGGTGTGGTCTGAGGAGAAATGGGCGTGGCTTGATGATAAATGGGTGTGGTTTGTGAGCGGCGGGGCCGTGGGAAGCCCCGCCCCGGCGCCGCCCGGTCCGCGCGGGGATTGGCTGAGCCCGGGGGGGAATTTGGGGAAATTTGGGAAAGATTTGGGGAAATTTGGGGTAAATTTCGGGGGATTTGGGGTGGTCTGGGATGTTCGGGGGGCGGCTCAGAACGTTTGGGGGTCCCGGTTTTGGGGTCCCATGGAATTTGGGGGTCCCGGATCATTTTGGGTCCCGGTTTTGGGGTCCCGAGGGTTTTGGGGCTCCCGATTCGGGGGTCCCGTGAGATTTTGGGGATCCCGGTTTGGGGGTCCCGGGTTATTTTCGAGGTCCCGGTGATTTTGGGGGCCCCAAAGGGTTTGAGGGTGCTGATTTTGGGGTCCCGTTCGGGGATGACGTTTGGGGTTTGGGGGTCCCGGGTTATTTTAGGGGTCCCAGGTTACTTTGGGGGTCCCGGGTTGTTTTGGGGGTCCCATTCGGGGGTCCCGGGTTATATTGGGGGTCCCAGGTTATTTTGGGGGTCCCAGGTTAGTTTGGGGGTCCCGGGTTATTTTGGGGGTCCCGGGTTGTTTTGGGGGTCTCATTTGGGTTTTTGGGGGGTCCCGGGTTGTTTTGGGGGTCCCGTTCGGCGCAGGCTCTCTCGGGGTGGGCGGGGCTCTCATAAATATTCTCGTGTTTGCATTAAGTTACATGGGAGGGGGCGGGGTCTCCCCTGAGTGACAGCTGTCAATCAATCACCCGCGGGGCCTGGGCAGCCCAGGGCGCTCAGGCGGGAGGGGGATGATTGACAGCTGTCAATCACCTGCCGGCACGTGCAACGTGCCGGGGGGAGGGGAGGGGGGGCTGACGGCTCCTGGTGCTGGTGATTGACAGCTGTCTGTGCTGGTGATTGACAGGTGACAGTCCTGATGATTGACAGCTGTCGTTCCTGGTGATTGACAGCTGACAGTCCTGGTGATTGCCAGCTGACTGTCCTGATGATTGACAGCTGTCATTCGTGGTGATTGACAGCTGACTGTCCTGGTGATTGACAGCTGTCGTTCGTGGTGATTGACAGCCGACAGTCCTGGTGATTGACAGCTGACAGTCCTGGTGATCAGGGCTGGTCCGTGATGATTGGCAGCTGCTGATGATGATCGACAGCTGATGGTGATGACTGACAGCTGACGGTGATGATTGACAGCTGCTGCTGATGACTGGCATCTCTCCACGCTGATTGACAGCGTTCAGTCCTGACAGTTATCGATAATGATTGACAGCTGTGTGTGATTGACAGCTGGTGGCAATGATGGCTGGCAGCGCTCTGTGATGATTGACAGCTGTCTGTGCCGATTGACAGCTGCTGGCTGAGAGAGCCGGCTCAGGGCGATGATTGGCAGCCGTCCCGGGTGATGACTGACAGCTGCCTCGAGCAATGACTGACAGCTTTCCCCGGCGGTGACTGACAGAATCTCCGGCGATGATTGACAGCTGTATCCAGTGACTGACAGCTGTCTCCAGCGTTGATTGACAGCTGTATCCAGTGACTGACAGCTGTCTCCAGCAGTGATTGATTGGCAGCTCACCTGGGGCAGGTGTCGGCCAGGTAGAGCCGCACCTTCCCGCGCAGGAAGCGGCTCAGCACCCCCAGCAGCCGGGGCAGGGTCCGCACCCGAACGGGGGCGGGGGGCGGCGGCGGGGGCGGGGCCTGCGGGAGGGGCGGGGTCAGGGGGGCGCGGCCCGCCCCCGAAACCCAAAACAATCCAAAATCCCCAGAAACCCCCCCAAAACTCCCCCTAAAACCCCCAAAACTCCCCCTAAAAACCCCAAAACTCCCAGAAACCCCAAAAACCCCAAAACTGCCCCTCAAAACCCCAAAACATCCCCGAACCCGAAAAAGCCCAATAATCCCAAAACTCCCCCAGACTCCCAAAAACCCCCAAACCCCACTGGAGCCCCTCAAACCCTCAAACCCCCCAAATCTCGCTCAAACCCCTCCAGGACCCCCCAACTCCCCCCAAGACCCCCAGATATCCCCCTAAACCTCCCCAGGAACCCCAAACCTCCCCAAATCCGCCCAGATTCCTCCCAAATCCCCCCAGTTTCCCATCGATTCCCGGTGTTACCGGCGCGGGCAGCCCCCGCAGCAGCCGCGCCAGGCTCCCGTACCCCATGAATTTCCCCAATTCCCCCCATTTTTGCCCCAAATCCCGGTGTTACCGGCGCGGGCAGCCCCCGCAGCAGCCGCGCCAGGCTCCCGTACCCCATGAATCCCCAATTCCCCCCATTTATCCCCAAATCCCGGTGTTACCGGCGCGGGCAGCCCCCGCAGCAGCCGCGCCAGGCTCCGCGCCGCTCCGTACGCTCGGTCCAGGCTCGGCCGCACCCGCGGGTCCCGCAGCAGCTCCCGCGCCCGCAGCACCGCGGCCGCCAGCGCCGCCTGGCCCCGGGCCACCTCCTGCGCGCGGGACCGCGCCTGCCGCGACACCGGACACCGGCACGGCCGTCACGGGGGGCTTCATCCCCGGTTTTCCCCGATTTTTCCCTGATTTTCCCCGATTTTCTCCAAATTTTTCCCGTTTTTCTTCTAATTTTCCCTGATTTTTCCACAATTTCCCCGATTTTCCCGATTTTCTCTGGTTTTCCCTGATTTTGCCCCGATTTTTCCCTATTTTCTCCATTTTTTCCTCGATTTTCTCCGTTTTTTCCCGACTTACCCGGATTTTCCCTGATTTTTCCCTGATTTTCCCCTGATTTTTCCCCATTTTCCCCCGAATTATCCCGATCTTCCCCAATTTCCCCTGATTTTTCCCTGATTTTTCCCCTGATTTTTCCCCATTTTCCCCTGATTTATCCCGATCTTCCCCGATTTTCCCCGATTTTCCCTGATTTTCCCTGATTTATCCCGAATTTCCCCGATTTTTCCACAATTTCTCCGAATTTTCCTGATTTTCCCCATTTTTCCCGATTTCCCGGGTTTTCCCCCCGTTTTCCCCCATTTTTCCCAATTTCCCGGCATTTCCCTCATTTTTCCCGATTTCCCGGGATCCCCCCCCCCCCGTTTTTCCCGATTTCCCGGGATTTCCCCCCATTTCCCCGTTTTTCCCGATTTCCCGGGATTTCCCCCCATTTCCCCGTTTTTCCCGATTTCCCGGGTTTCCCCCCATTTCCCCGTTTTTCCCGATTTCCCGGGATTTCCCCCCATTTCCCCGTTTTTCCCGATTTCCCGGGTTTCCCCCCATTTCCCCGTTTTTCTCGATTTCCCGGGTTTCCCCCCATTTCCCCGTTTTTCCCGATTTCCCGTGGTTTTGCCCCATTCCCACTCACGTCCAGGCTCCGCCACAGGTTGAAGTTGACGCCGGGGTCGGGGACAGCGACGGCCTCGGGGAGGTCACAGTGGGGGCCGCACCCGACCTGGGGGACACGGACACGGTGACACGGGGACACACACGGGGACACACACGGGGACACGGACACGGGGACACGGACACGGGGACACGGACACACACACGGGGAC